TACAGCGATTAGCATGCAGATTTAGAAATGCTACAAAATGACTATTGTCACCATCTTTTGAAGCTTTCTGCATAACCAGTATAACTGATATCAACAATGTTCATATCCACTTTACTCTGTATCATTCTAACGAGGGTAACAGAATAGAGTTTTGTGAGATGTTTTAATCCAAAGAGACTCAATCAACGTTCTTTAAACGGAAAAATTCACGGCTGTAATCCTCCCAGCTGTCCATGTCATACTCTGCTAATGTAATTTCTACAGATACTTCTGCGGTACAGACGTTACCTTTCAGGCCAAGAAAGCAGCCCGTTAGTTCCACAATGCAGGTATAATATCCGCATTCTCTTGGTCCAATATTATCTAGTTCTGTCGAGACGATATTTTCCTCAGAGTTTTCGCTCTTTGTGAAGTTTTTTAATCGGTCGGTAAAGTAGAGGTTCTGTATTGGACCGTCAACTCTGCAACAAATGTTGCTCTTTAAGCTGACCTTCTGTTCTTCTAGAATAGTGCTTTCAAAATTTTTTGCCTATCATTCTCTTCCCAAAAAGTTATTTTCGTCGACCTATCAGATTCCCCTTCTCCAGCCTGTCGCTACCTGACTGCCTGCGCCTACCTCTATATTTCGTTTTGAGTTGACTAAAACCAGAATTGAACAATAATTAGTTATGTGATGAAATATTCGCACAATTTACTATAACTTTCTCTATTAGTATGAAACCTAGAGCTTACCAAGAAGTACTTGTAACCCCCAATTGTGCTCGTAACGCTGTCCACTAGCGCTCTAGCACCTTAAAAGCATTCAACTCCTCAAATGAAGTATCGCCTAATTTAAGAATCACTTTTTTAAGCATTATGCAAATAAAGAATAAATTTAAAAAAAGCTGTAAAATTGTAGAATTATCCTATTTGTCTTTCTCACAATATGCAACTCCATATTTTTGTTCTAGATCAAAATAACAAAGATAAAAAAATTACTGGCTTTACTTCAGTTATTAACTAACCGACAAGTAAGCGTCACTGCAGATCCTAATGGCTGTTTTTTAGTCATTACCACATGTATTGAGTTAATTTCGCGGCCAAGAAATTGCCGACCGGGAATAATTGGATATCGCATGTGTAACGGATATTCAGAAACGTTAAGCCTCACCGACGAATAATTTCCGTCCCCTGCGTAAGTGAGTTCTATCTTAAGACAGTGCTATTTTTTACTAATTTAAAGACACTAAAGCAACTCATATTTCTTTAGGATAGCTATGCTTCAATTATCCGGCAACTTTTGTCACCCGAGCAAGTTCCCACCTACTCTTTACAATTAAATTCAATAAAATAAAGTTTTTAGCAAAACCGAATTTATAACTGATAAACCGTTTGCACAGCTGAACTAACCATATCTGCGCACTTAGTAATATTGACGTATAGATCGTCTTTGAACGAGTAATATGAGCTTGTGACAACACAGTAATACTGGCCAACAATTTCCTCAGTCGCGTTTTGTACAAATAAATCCAGACTATGCAAATCTGTCATAGATAATTGAAATGTCAAAAAAAGAGCTGCATCTTAAAACTCAGTATCTAAAAGAAACTATGTTGTTTCGTGATCTACAGAACCCAAGTGGTTACCCAGAGAAAGGCGCACTAAATTACGAGCGTTGGGTGGTACCACCCAGTGAATACTACGCGCATATACCAAGTCACGTATTGGACAACTTATTTTGACCGGTAGATTCTCACAAGCAGTTAATTGTCTTCTTTCAGGATCGATCAGTTTTGGATATCCTGGAAAAAAAACACTACAACAATTTAACGACATACGTTTGGCTCATTACACTTAGAAATGAAGATTCGGTAATATAATGAACAAAAAGTTTTTCCATCTACTTTAGAAATGATGAATTTAAGAGTTACAAACAACCAAATGCAAATAATAAAAAGTTTGTTAATATTTCTAAGCAAGAAGCAAAAAAAAAAGCTAAAATAACTAGAATGATAAACAAAAATTTACCTAAAAAATTAGTATTTAAAGCAGATAGTTGTTTGAACTAATCAGCAGAAGTTTCAATAAAAAAACTTTACTCGTTAATTTCAACAAATCATATTCTGGAGTAAATAAGTGACAAACTTTTTTAAGTACAAACTAGTCTATGCTGATAGAAACAGAATTCGTTATCGAGTAAATTCTCCTCTCCGTTCCTCACCCAATATTCAATAAAAGAAATAATAATTTAAGGCTAAAATGAGCTGACAGAAAATAAATGAGAGAACCACATACCTAAGTTCCCAAATAAATAAAAATTTGATTTTTTGCAGTTTTGTACCTAAAAAATTTTATTTCACGATTTTTGAATTTATTTATTTTACTTTTTTTACTAGACAGACAGCACCTTTTGCTTACTGACCACCCAAATCCTTAAAAACGTCAAATGTTCAATATGAACTTGTTTTTTGTCGCCATGTCGAAACTGCTCAACAATACAATCTTCGCAAAAAATCGTTTTTATGCAAAATTTCAAGCAGAATAACCCATCCTAGGTCAAGAAATCAGCTAACAAATTTTTCTCAAAATAAAGATCATAAAGGCTAAATTTGAAA